TATATTTGTTGGAAATAAAGCTTGTTATGTTTTTATTTTCTTTCTATGAATTTGTCTCAATCTAGTGAACCATGTCACATGTTTAAATTAACCTGAGTTGACTTAGGTCATTTTATTTTTTCACCCTATCTAATTAATTTTTTTTCAGCTTCATCTTTCAAGATTTAGTCGACTTCACAGTTGTTCTTAATTTTTTTTCTATGAAATTATCATGATCTTATGACCAAGATTGTGGGTTTGGTAGGTTAACTTAAAATGTCTTTATTCATTTTTTTATTCTTTTTTCATTGAATATTATTTTAATTGGGTTTCATAATTTTTTTTCTACGGTATTATCCTAATTTCATGATCTAGGTTGTAAGTTTAGTTGGTTGATTTGAGTTGACTTGATTTATTGTTTTGAGTCCTTTTTTAATTGAATATTCTTTTTTCAATTTCTCCCTCCAACAACTCAATCTTATTTATGATGCGAACCTCGTGATCACATGGTCACGCAACCCACACGCAAAGATGTCAATTCCCGGAAAGCCAAGTAAATCAGGTTTGATAGGAGTGTGACACAAAGATAACTTGTACCTAGGCACCAGCACTATTGAAAACAGAAACCCCCACCCAACGAATATTGATTCGCGAACGAGAAGTATAAGGATGACGCCACGAAGACAGTTCTTCTTCGATAAGTCGTTTTTCAGTTCCTTAGAGAACCACGAAAGGGAGATTATCTCACCAACACACATACACACAAAGTGCGGCAAACAAGAAGTTTTATTTATCTGAATAGTCTTCTTTCCTTTTGTAGCTCGGATGAATAAGGAATCCTTGTAAGAAAAGGATTCTGAAATAATAATGAATCCTTGCCACTTGGAAACTATGTTGCAGCCCATTAAACATCCTTGTAGAATTAGTATATTTCCAAAAGAAGCTGCCACATCCCTTTAGGAAAAGAATGCTAGCCAAATAGGAAGTCTACAAGTCAAAAGAAAGTAAATAACAAAATCCGTACAGCCTCTAATGACCCGTATTGAGATACCTTCCCGAACTCCGATTGACCTGAAATGTTAACCCAAGGTAATACAATATCTCAGGAGACTCCACGTAAAATGTCAGCTCGATACAACAGTTGGATTGAGAATTATGACTATTGCTGTAAAACTGGATAGTTGCACATTTTACATTAAAATTCAAATTTGATCTTGCTTGGATCGTATCATATATTAAAGCAATCTGGTGGGATGTTTGTGACAGATGCAACATTCCAAGAATGATAAAAGGATGGGATGAATGGATTCGATGGGCCAGTGTCACTTGGCATGGCAAAAGTTTCGTCAATTTTTCTCGTAAACTCAGTTTTGCAGCTACAGT